GATAAGGATGGCAAAACGGCTTTGTTCTATTCTCTATACAATGAAAAGGTAACCCATGCACTAATTAAAGCTGGTGCTGATGTCAACATAACTGATAATGATGGCAAAACAGCTTTGTTCTTTGCTGTGGACAATGAAAAAGTAATCCATGCACTAATTGAAGCTGGTGCTAATGTCAACATAACTGATAACATTGGAAATACACTCCTGATTTGTGTTTTTGACAATTCAAGGACGGTTAATAGCAAAAAGTGTGAAGTTCTCCTAAAAAGTGGATCAAGTTTATGTGAAACAACTAAGAAACAAGAATCAATTTTTCATTTGGCTCTATATATTTACCAAGACAACATTTTCAGTTCAGAACTTGGTGACCTACAGAAACACTCCATTTGGTTTGATATTATGGATGCCTTGAAACTTGTTTCCAAATCAGGCGAGAGTAAAGTGGCTGTCAATAAGCGAGACATGCATCTCAATTCACCACTTCACCKGTGGGCATCTTTTCAWTTGGYCYCACCACTTRAATATYRTAMWRACGTGTGTCATGGATACAGCTTTAAAGATATGTTAAAGCGTGTCTTGGATGTACTTGTAAGCTGTGGAATAAAGCTAAACTACAGTAATGAACAAGAACAGACCCCATTGCACGTGTGCAAGACTTGGACTGCTGTGGAGCTCTTGTTAGACGCTGATGCAAAGCCAGATGTTACAGACTTATCTGGATGCACACCTCTTCTTACCGCTGTGAAGAGCACTAAATGCCTCGAGAAAGATTCAAAATGTTTCTTTCCTGATGTTGATCAAACTCCAGATGAGTTCTGGAAAGAAGTTCTCAACAGGAGACTTGATCCATGGACTGCTGATAAGGATGGAAATTCCGTTTTAAGCATCCTAGTCACGGAAGGAGCTGAATGTCTTACCACAGCCTTGATTGAAGCTGCATGTCATCTTAAGTGTGTGCAGTCAGATGCAATTGGAGTGCCTCTGCTCATTACCATTTGTAAAGACAAGTCCGTGGACAAAGAATGGAAAGTTGATCTTGTCAAGACCTTGCTAAAATATCGAAAGAGTCTTGCTCATACAAGTTTGAGCAACAAAGACACTGCTCTGCATATTAGTTGCAAGAACATGTTGGAGCTAACTGAAGAAAGTGTCAAGACTTCCGTGCATTGGAAAATTGCTCAGCATCTCATTTTGTGCGGAGCTGATGTTAAATCTGCTGATAAGGAGGGCAAATCCTGTTTGGACATAGCAGAAAGCTGTCCAGATCTCAAAGAACTTTTGTCAACGCCTGTCAACATTGAACAAGTGCCTCCTCTGATTGACTTATGGAAGGTACCAAACAAGGTATCAGGGAAGGTTTCAAAGACACATCAAGGCCAATTAGCAAAGGTTGCAAGAGGCTTTGATTCTCATCAAATTGAGACAGTTTTTTATTTCAAGGAAGCCTTAGACAATGGAACGTTTGGTCTGGTGTTTGTGGGAATGAACATAGAAGATGGAAAAGAAGTTGCTGTAAAGAGAATTGAAGCAATGAGGGTAGATAAGGAAAACATCACAAAAGAGATTGAATATCTTAAATTGGTCTTGAGCTGCAGCAATAACGTCATTCAGTGTTTGCTATGTACCAATGATGAAGATTTTTTATATGTGATCTTGGAGCTGATGGAAGGGAATCTTGACGATCTACTCTCAGAGGAGTGCAATTTTGTCATCGATCAAGAGATCAAGCTTTGTAGAGATATTTGCACAGGACTAGATTATTTGCACGATCTTGACATCATACACAGGTGTATAAAACCAAGTAACATTCTCTACCAAGGGATTCATTCAGAAATGAAACTGAAGCTTGCTTTCTTTGGTTTAAGAAGCCAGATGTGTAAGGAGCAGCATACCTCTGCATTTACAGATACATATGAATCTCTAACTAAGGTGAGATGCTGGATGGCACCAGAAGTGTTGCAATCACTGAGTCATTCCAAGTCTTCTGATGTTTTCTCATGTGGACTTGTGATCTATTACCTCCTTACTAACAAGAAACATCCTTTTGCTCGTCGTGGATCTAGCAAAGAAAGCTTACTAGCAGTAAGTATTGAAACCGTTGAAAACATTGCTCAAGATAAAATAGAACTGGATGAAACTATATCATCTGATGCACATGACCTTCTGCAAGGAATGCTTGATCACTACAAGTGCAAGCGTATAAATATTTCAAATGCATTGGAACATCTGTTCTTCAAGTAAAAGTCAGGAAACGCTGAACTTTTTAATTATTATTGATTGATAGATAAATAGTTTAAGATAGAAAAGGGGGAGGGGGGTAGGAGATAATTCATAGACCTCTTTCTATCCTTTCTAGATTTGGGACGTTGATATTATCCTCTGAGGAATCGAACTTTTTCTCAGGGAAATCAATTAACTTTTTCCTGCCATCCAACATGGCTGTCGTAATTGAAGCAATGTGCCTTAAAATTTACATGCATTTTAATTTAATCGTATTCTAAAGAATGTACAAAGTAAACCATGCATGTAAAATATATTATCCATTAGTTAGTGTTACTCAAACAGAAATATCTTTTACAGTACTGTCAGTGTTTAATATACAGTGAGGGGCTGGGAAGATAGGATAGGTGGGAATAAGTCTAGCTTCTTGTGCAATTGCGATATAATTTCTTTATTATACAATTACATTTAATTGTCTTTGGCGCCCTTGTTCCATGAGAGAATGAAAGCATTGGAAATCAAGAAATTCCAGGATGAGAAAGAAAATCGAAAAATTCTCTGGTTCAGGAAGAAAGCACTGGGTTTATGCTAGAAACTAAATCTATAAGCATTCACATCATGGAGTTGAACTCCGTGCCTATCATTGACCAGAGGCAATAAATTATTGCCAGAGAAAAA